TTTGAATGCTTCCCTGAAGAAGGTGCAGACTTCAAAAGCGGCAACCACAAGTACATCTTAGAGATATTGTTGGCCTCAGGGATTCTAAGAGATCTTGAATACAGCATGATAAGCTTTCAGCTGCATCAAACGCGCCTCCCAATCAACTCTGGACTGTTCTTTATCCTAGAACAGAATAAGGCCAGCAATGTGACTCTACCGGACAACAAACACAGAGGCAGAGTATTCAGACAACAGCAGACAAATCCGACAGAGAAAATCAGGAGAAAACTCGTCTTCGACACCGTTAATGAGATTTTAGCTCGGAAGTTCACTGCAGAAGGCTGTATCAAACCACGTTTAACCGCAAATCCACTCAAAAAAGTGGAGAAAATATCAAAAGAGGAGCAACTTTTGCAGGCTCTGTGTTCAGAGATTGATAGGTTACAACAAAACAACTCAAACTGTATCTTGGAGGACGACGAGGAAGACATCATATGGGAGGACCTGCAAAGTCAATGCATGAACTTGAAGGAGTTTGAAGGAGAGACTCCAGGAATTGTGTTAGATATTGAGAGAATGATTTTCAGAGACTTGGTTAATGAAGTTTGCTTCTGCTAATTTTTTATGGTTATCACTTAGAATTGTAAATGAAGTAATCTTAGAGAGGAAGAGAACCTTTGGTCTCTGGGTTTTCAGCCCTCTTGCCTGTTCTGTTCTCTTCCTACTTGTTTGTTGTAACCAGCATATGATATATACAGGTCTAATTAATAAATAACAGTATTTAAGTTCAAAGATAATCCATCTACCAAAAGGTGCTAAGAGCATATTAATTGGTCTATCAAAATAATATTTCACTGCAAATCAAGTTAGGCCAAACAACCTTCTACATTTCTCCATCATTTTGAATTAGTAAAAATCTCTTACCCTAAAAAGTCACGTATTCCAGTTGCAAACGATCACTAAACTCAGGATGCAAAGCTATTTTGTTTGCAAATTCTAAAATGACATAATACCTATTTTACATCTGAGTTGACAATTGCGAGTCAATTCTTTCGCGCTTTTCTTTGATTTCTGACTTCTTCTCCCTCTTGTCTTCATTTTCTTGAAACCATCCCTCTTCCTGGAAGCTCCGACTTTTTGCCAAACATGTAGATCTTTTTGTAGTCCCAATCTTGAAACGTACCAAAGTTCGTTGTTTTCTTGCAACATCTTCCTTCTCTCCATCCTCGGATTCAGCTAACCAGTTCATGTTGTTGATTTTATCCGATGAAGCAGATGCCTCAAGAACTGGGATGTGATGGTTGTTGCTCATATGCTTATCAGCAACGTGGTTGGTCCTAACAACTTCATTTGAAATCTCCAAAGGGCGGACCACAGGTGACACATTTTTCTCCACAATTCGAAGAGGCGCAGTTAGAAACGGGTTACCTTCGACTACTGCTTTTGGTGATTCTCGAACATCCTTTGGAGATGTATGTATATCTAACCTACCACCATCGAAAGAATGTTGCATACTCGGTAAAGATGAACCGTTTTCTTTCCTCGGAATTTCTCCTTCGATTGTGGCTGCATTAGTTTCCTCTGATCGATCACACAATTTGGTTTTGGGAAATGCAGGAAGCCAAATAGGAATGTGTTCATCTGGAGGTTCTGGTCCAACCTCAGAGAAACTAGGAGCAGGTTTTTTCTCTTTACTAAATGGGAAACGAGGAAGAGAGTAAACAAACGGCATCTCCTCCGCTTCTCCAGTATAATGAATAATATCCTTGAGTACACCGGAATCAGCAAGACAATGGTCAGCATCTGAAAAACCAGCAAAACCCAAACCAGATCCCAAATCCTCTAATGCTTGAACAATATCCAGAGAATTACCATCTACTCTACCGGCTATGTTAGCATACAAATGGGCAGTCTTCCCAATGCTCTGGATATACTGAACCGCTACATCAGTTAGTGCTTCAAGAGCAGATTCATGAAAAGAACTAAACCTCACGGCCTCGCGTGTCTGTGATTCCTGATACGAGTTAACCTCAACACTCTCGCATATTTGAGCCACTGCCATTCTCGCTATGGAAAACGCAAAATCACTGCCTCGGAAAAGCTTTCTCTTACCAGGTAATTCTCTTTGCTGACTTCCACCATCCCCACCTCCATTGTTCATATTCAAACTTTGTTATAACTTCACCCAACATAACATGTAGAACCATTTCTTGAATGAAAAACCAACACAACACGCATCCCTCTGAGAACACAAAACCAAAAATCAATATCTTTCCCTCGAAATTCTTCTCTTTGGCACCTAAAAACAAATAAGAGAGAATAAAACATCAGAATCTATTTTATTACTAACCCAAAAGAATACACGTATCCAGCGAAACCCTAGAAACAAATCGGGTTCAATTCACAGCAGTAGAAAGCAACAAAGCAAACTCGAGAGAGAGTAAACGAATCCAATTAAGAGAATTATAATGCTTACCGGAGAAAAAGATCTCTCCATCGAAAAAAAAAACCCTCGAGGAAGAAGAACAGGCACAACTTCGGGCAGCTATCGGCGGCGAACACAGTGAGAGAAAACCCTAGAGAAGAAGTGAGATTGAAAGTACCAAGAAACGAAATTGAGGAAATTTCGAATGCGAATCAAAAACCCAGCTCCAAGTTAAAACCTTTCGATCCAATTTGAGAAGGCGAAGAAAAAGAGAGACAGAAAGAAAGGTGGGAGATTTGTGCAAGTTTGAGAGTTTCCTTAACTTATAGAGAGAGCTTATGAGTTTTTAAAAAAAATCATGCGAATTAAAAAAAAAACGAATTATTTATTTTAATACTACAACTAGTATATAGTAAGGTTACAGCGATGATGTAATAATTAGAAAGGATACAATAATTTACGGGAAAGAATTATGTATATTTCTGTAACAAAAAATTAAATCCAGATCGGAAATCTTAAAAGACACATACATTGATTGGGTTAATGGGCTTCCAAGTTATTAACCAGAATTTCAAACTAACGGGTCCATGGATGGCCCAACAACAAAAAGACGTAAAAGCAAAGCAAAGAGAACGAATGACAAGAACTAATTCATACATTTCATTTCAGTACCGCAGTCCATATTCAAAATGTGATTTGAAAAAAGCTCAAAATCTTTTTAATTTCCACTTATGTTTTTTTTTTTATCAACAACATGTATTCTTTCAAATTTATATATCGGTGTTAACACAATATAGAGGATTATATGTTGTAAACATTTATTTCTTATAATAAATCTTTATTTAATCATTGCAGCTTATAATATTCATAAAATTAATGCGCAGTGGGAATGAAAGGTGTACCGTACAATTACTTAAAATTGATACTCCCTCCGTTTCAAAATGTAAGATATATTTTAAGGTATTATTTTTGTTTCAAAATATAAAACGTTTTCAAATTTTTATGCAAATTATATATTAATTTAATATTTTATTATTATTTATATATATTATGTAGTCTCATTCATGATTGATTGACCTTTTTAAAAATAGATATTTATTAATATGCGTGTTTTTAACTAAAACGTTTTATATTTTGAAACGGAAAGAATATTTGGGATTCATATATCGTTACTTTAATTGAAAAAAAAAATGTATAAACTGAAGCAAAACCAAATTGTGGAAGTCCCTTTGGGTCGTTGGTTGATCAAGGGCTAATTAATGCTTCTACACCAAGAGGTCTGGGGTTCGAGTCCCAGATATTGAGATTTATTAATAAATTTGCAGATTAATGGAGGCAAATGTGCATGAGATCTCCGGCGATGTACAATTATAGCCGTTCGCCAGGATTCTACGTAGAGAAAGAAGTGTCGTCATGTCGTGAATCATTGAAAGGTGTCCGTCAAAAGCATGAAGAAGGTAGTGTCGTTTGTCGTGAATCTAATAAGGGTCAGAAGAAATTGTCCATTGTAGAATCGTCTATGTAACAGTTCTTATAATTTGTAATAAATAATAAATACAAACGTTAAAAAAAAAAAAAAAAAAAAAAAACAGAACCAAATCTAATTTTGATCGTTTGATATATATGGTAATTTTTAATGTTAGTACGAATTACACATTTTATTTACTCTTGTGCTTATAACAAAATTCAAATATGGTAGTTTAGTTTGCTTTAAATTACAGTGTGATTGGAAATCAGAAAGAAAATAAAACCAGATCATTCGAATTATTAATATATATATATATTAATATGCATGTATGATAGCTAGAGATCGACATGGAAGCTTTTTGCAGAAAGTATGATGATATACGACAGAGTCACAGAGCATTGGATCGGTAGCCTTTTACTCAAATCAATCAAAGATCGTACACACAACATTATTTAGAAGCTTTTGTCTCTATCACCCCCTAAATTATTTAACTAATTCATCTTCTCCTTCATTTATTAATTGTTCCTTTTCTTTTTTCCTACTAAATATATATTCATAGCATGTACATATGTATTTACATTTTAGCCAAACTTTTGCATTGGTGAGCATGCATGTGATCACTAGCTACTACACATTAATTTGAGTTAACATAGATAAACGACGAGACCATTTAGCCTAGCTAGTAATCTTAAATATGTAAATGGGAATGTGGTCTTTGCATCTTGAGTTTACTTACTTACTGTGCTAATAAGATAGTAAAAAATGGGCCTAAATATATATATGATATTTTCACGTAACATTATAACATTATAATGTTAGGTCTGTTTGGTTTTTGTGCATTAGAATCTTGACTTATCATCATCTAATCTAGCTACGGTCACCACTTGAGTTTTATAGTTGCAATGTACCGTGCCTCCAATAGATTCCATTTCATTTTATTACGTTATCTATTGATGAATCTGAATTTGTTTAGCTTCTTGTCTCAAAGTTCATATAATATTAGCAGATAGTTATACAAAGAGCCCTAAATGAATAATAACATGTGTATGTTTGTGTGTATTCAGATTCTATGAGGAAGCTAGCTATATAGATGAGAAAGTTTCAAACACATGCTAAAATACAAGTAATTAATAAACCAATTTATAACATTAATTTGTATATAAAAATATATCACCAAAAAATAGTACAGTACTAATTACCTTTTTTTTTTTTTGTGTCCCCATACTTGTGAACACATCAAACATCAATTATATTGTTTCAATAATCTAATTTCACATATGGTGATCACTTCCTCTACTTGTACTACTCTCCGAGCCTAGATGCCTCGACATATTAGCCGTTGTAGTGCTATTAGCTCGGTTGAATTGGACCGACGACATCCGATTATTGATGTCTCTACCACCATTGTTGCTATTACTACCATGTAACAATGAATATAATGTGGAAATGTTTTGGGATGACGAAGATGAAGAATTACCCATTAATGGCATTTGAAAATGGCTCACCATTTGCCTCAGATCTAATGTCTCCATAGTTCCTGAACCAGCTGACGGCGATGATGGAAACAAAGATTGTATAGTTGCTGTTGTTGATGTCGTCATTGGACATACCAAAATTTGTGATGGAAATGGGACAAGACTATGTAGTTGATGTTGATGATTATGATAATCCGCCTGTAAACTCAAATGTTGGTGATGATGATGATGGTGTTCCATGTTGTGATAAGTTCCATAAGACCCAACATGATGATTGTTTGTGAAAACGACATCGTTTTCTCCTTTCTCTTTATTGTTTGCTTCACGGCTAGTAGTAGTAGACTCTTCTACACATCCATTGATTTTAAACCCGAGTTGGGTCGGATCTTGACCCGGCCTTTGACCAAGATTCAAGAAGGAGTGATGATGGTTGAAGATGCTGAAATTTTCCGGCGAGATAGGTAACGGAGGGAGCTCGTCGATCTCCTCTTTAGCTGCATCAAGCAACCAGTCAACGGCTTTGCTAGGCTGGTCAACACCGAGCCGTTCTTGAAGATCGTAGAGCTGAATAGCCGTTGGGACTGATAATCTCACGCGTCTGTCACGTAACCCACGTAACGTACACACTTTGCTGTGACGGTCTTTGCCTCCAAAGGCGCGTGAAACCCTAACAATCCTCGGATCCTTCGATTTCATCCACGACGAAGAAGAAGAAGAAGAAGAGATCGAGGTTGGTGGCTTTTTAATTACGGTTTTGCCACTGGTGGCTCTGACTTGGGCTTCTTCTTGATCTTCTTCTACTTCTCCTTCACGTCTTCTGGTAGTGCCGCCTGAAACTTCGTCGTTTGCATCTTTCCAAGAGACGATATTCATAATGCTTATACTCGAGATCTTTATATCTACTACAAAAAGAAGAACCAAAAGTAAATCCATTAACAGAAAACATAAGGACAACAACAATTTCTTAAACAATTTAGTTTTGAATTTTCGAATCCTTTTTAAACGAGTTAATTATCCAGAAATTTTGAAATAAAGTAGAAATTGTCTAAAAGAGAAAAACTAGGGTTTAATTTAATTTAGCTTGTTTTCTTCAATTGACTTAATTCTTATCCGGAGAGTAGAAGGAAAAAAAAACATGTATTGTTTCTTACCTAGAGCTCCAAAGTTTGTACGGTCTTGAGCTTGAACAGCAAATCTAGGGTTTTGCTGTTCTATAAAGTGAGTAATATGATGAAGAAGAAGAATGAGAAATAAGAGAGAAGAAAGTATGTGATTCGATTTTTCTTTTCAAAAGTAACAATGAAAATTAAAAAAAAAAAAGAAAAGAAAAAGAAAATTAGAAAGAAGAAGATGCTTTTGGAAGTGAATATGAGAGCCCTACCAATATCATAAGCCTCCAAAATTTAGAAGAATTGCGACTAAGTATTTATGTTAAAAAAGCAATGGATGTAGTAATGCCACATGGCGGATTTCGCTATCCTCGAAGGGAAAATAAAATGAATGCGCTGAATAATCAGTCAAGTTCATTTTCATCTTTAATGTTATGGATCATATCAAATCTACATACGGACGAGAAATTAAACTCGGATATTTTATCATCCACGTATGTGATATGAGTTGCAAGTATAATACGGCTAGCTAAGAAGAAAGTCCCAAAAGAGTATACGTGAATATCTAAATTTTAAAGAAATTATAGATACCAAAATTTAACATATATTGACGTGAAGTTATATATAATAGTAGCTTATTTAAACGTCTAACTAATGTTATGAAAATAATGAAATTTTAGGAGCTACAAATAATTTCTGTCGTGAAAGGGATGATGTACGATTATTGATGAAAATGTAGAATCTTATCTTAATTGGCCAAACGATGATAATTTAGTGGTTTTTTGTTCTTTAATTGCCCGTTGTTAAATATTGGTATATATAATTAGAAAGCCAAGACCTATCACCTATATAATTTTCTAGACTTTTTTTTTTTTTTTTTTTTTTTTCAAAATTGTGTTTTGCACCCGCCATTGCGCTCGCGATATGTTGAAATGAAGTTGGATCTATAGTTAATAATATTATGACTACTTAAACTACATCACTTTCTTTTCTTTTTTTTGTCAAAGAAACTACATCACTTTACTTACTATTTATTGATTTTTGTCATAACAACATTTCTATAAATGATCAAGATTAGACTTTAGAGTTTTTTTTTTTTTTTTTTTTGAAGAAAGACTTTAGAGTTCAGCGTTGCGTTTTCTTGATCATTTAAATTCACCTTTTAAACTCGATATCTTATGATAATCGAATCAAAAGGATATGGTATTTTGTGTAAATTTAGACCTTGGTTCTATAATTATATATATGGGACCATGCATATAAGAAATGTAACTCACATATATGGTAAAATATAATATATATGGTCCATGTGAATATTGGCATGCTGTTATATCGACAATTACAAAAGGTTGTGGATTACCCGATGCACGCCTCGTGTACCTTGTTGAGTCATGACTCATTACCTTTTCAAAACACAAGTACATTAATTAGACATCACTAAGCCCTAATTTACTTTTGCTTCATAAAAACCGGTTTAACATCTTCATTTATCGAAAGGTACGTGTTTAACTTGTGATTTTTCCACAAAATAATTCGATTTTCTATATTGGATCTAGTAATATATGTGAATGTTGTTTATGCACGGAAGCATATGAGAAGTAATATGATTTCGTAAATTCGGATATATGCATAGTCTGTGAAAGGAAAAGGGCATATATAATTCTCATATTACTAATATTACTAAGAACAATGGAAACGAGGGAATTTTTCAGAATTTCAAAACAATAAAGAAAAAGTATATATATATATATATATAGATATATATTCACATGATTGTGATCTTTATAAGTGTGCTACTTATCCATTCACAATGAGATTCGAACCAAAGTTTTTTTTTCAAATACATTTAATATATATATGAATCAATAACATCAAATTAACTTTTCATTAAATTGTACATTGCCTTTAAAATAAAGGGATGTAAGAATATTAATAGAGAAAAATAGAAGTGGGCGAAAGCAATATATCCTTATGAATCAAAACAAAGGAGTGAGAAAAAAAAGTGTGATGATGATCATTTTATCTTAAGATATCACATGGGATCAAAGGAGAAATCGGACAAACTTAAAATCCACTAAGTCATGTCTACTTCACCGACTCTAAAAGTTTGTGGTCTCATGAACAAAGATTGGGTTTTATAGCTTTTTCTATAGTACTTCATATCGATAATAATAATTAATGATGTGAAGGATATATCAACGCAGCCCCGGTTCAGATGGGTATGACGGAGGTGCAACGGTCCGGGGCTTTTTTTTTTATGAAAAAATTTATATATAAAAAAGGCCCAAATATTTTTTAAAAATATTATTAATATGAGAATTATATTTTAAGAGGCCTAATTATTTATAAGAAAATGTATAAAAAGACCCAAAATTTTTAAAATAACAATTTTTACTATAAAAATTCCGCAAAATTTTTAAAAATTAAGTAAATTTTCTCTTTGTATATAATAATAGGCCAAAAAATTTTTTTTTGCCCTAAGACTCTCAAATATATTGAGCCGGGGCTGTATCAACAACAATAATATCCTAAGAAAATCATGTTAAAAGTTGTATAACATTTCTCCACAGCAATCAATATCAGCGTATATAATGAGACTAAGCTAAGTTTAGCAAGACAAAAAAAAACGTATGAATTAAGTGAGGTTACGTGAATATTGCAAATAGAACACCATATCATTAATTTCGGTCGACGTGGATATTCAAACAATGATCTACATATACAGTACCGTGGGTACGCATGCCATTTCGAGACGTATACAATTCAGTTTCTTCCACTTGAGTTTGAGATCTTTATCAAAATTACAAACATGTTTATATATATACACATAGAGATAGATAGAATAGAAGCCACATTTCTAAGATTCTATGGTCATATATACGACTATTTATTAAATATATATTCCAAAAGATTGACACTTTTTCTGAAAGACTAGCTAAGAACGTGCAAGTATGCGTTATTGTATATTATATATGTACTCAAGAATATTAATTTTTACATTACAAATTTTGTAAAACTTAATTGTAGAAAATATATTTATAACTATATATATAAATAAAACTCTAATTGAAATTGAAAAAATACATTAAACAAGATCTATGTAATTTTAGGCGGTCAAAGCGGTTATCTAGGCGTCGGATGAGAGCCTAGCGCCTAGTCGGGGCCTAGGCGACCGCCTAGACCGCTTTTTAGAACACTGACACAAAGTGACTATATGTAAAATTTAAGACTTAGAAAGTGTATTTATTATGTTATAATTATTATTATATAGTCGCTAAAAAGTAGATGAAGAGTGAAGAGGTTGGGCATCTCGAGAGAGAAACTGAAGAAAACAGAAGAGAAAGAGAGTTATTTACTCGATGGTCCCCCTAATTTTCCTATCACTTTTATCCAAAAAAAAAAAGAGATACAATAACTAGAAAAACCAGAGATACAAAATTAACTACTCTATCAGTCTATCTGTTGTCTTATACACTACACTTTTTCTATGCACTGTTCCTATCCCAAACACCAATCCCTATGCTCAGTCCATATGGCAGATACTACTAGAGATAGTAACCCAACATATATGTGTTAGATGGCCATAGCTAGGCAGTAAGCAAAAACTATACTTTAACTTTGTCTTACTGTCCTGGATCACAATCTTGGGCCAACAAAAGAAATGTAGATGGGCCAACTGTGTGAAAGAAAAGCCCAATGGATCAAAGTTCATATGCTTTATTTAGCTCTTGTAGAGAAGTTTTTGTAAACCAAAAATAAACCGAAGCCAGGTTGACTGAATGCTTAAATGTGATAATGTCACACTGCAACTTGGCTACATGTTGTCGTGAAGCAATGAATAAAGTGAGACGTGGTGTATTCTAGAAGCGAAACGTGTCACAAATTTTATCACCTTTTTTAGGGTAAAATAGATTTGAATCAAGACATTTCTTCAAACAAACTAAAAAAAGAAAGAAATACTACAAGTTGGCCACTATGCGTGTCCCACTTCTCGATCTCCTCTTTGATTGTTTGCGTCTCTTTAGGAGATCCTCCAATTCATTCATTCCTTCCTCTCCACCTTCTGCATGAATTTTATAAAAATTGTGTAACAACAATTTAACAAAAAAAAATCTTACCACAAAAAAAGGATTAGAAATTAGCACATTTTTAATAACCAATATTGAACTCTTACCTTATCGTTAGACCTTTGAAGTTAGGACACAACACAAGGCGCGTAGAAATGTTAGATAAAAATAGTTTAACGTATTTCTTTGGTTTGCCTTGTCGAGGGCCCAGTCAGGCTGGATACACGTGGCAATAAAGTGACTGTCGTAGTTGAGCACGTTGATAATTAGACACGTGTCAAGTTGTAGATGAACAAAGTAGCCTCCGTCTACGCCACTTGATGCCCTTTTACACGTGGCGTGGTGGGTGGTCGTCTATCTTTTCCTAATAAAATATCATATATTTATATTATAAAGTTTTCAAGAAGATAACCGAATAATTCCTATATTTTGTGTCTGTCAACGAGAAATCACTATCTATTTTCATTGATTATATTAATGCAAATGGGTATATTAACTGGAAATTATGTGTATTTTAACCCAACTTGTGTGAAAATATATACTAAAGTAAAGTAAAATCCGTACAATATCGTCAACTATGCTTGTAATATAATTAAAAAACATGATTTTCTTTTTTATTTCTTGGAAATTATAAAATAATGCAAATTGAAGTACTATAGTTTATAATAGTAAGCATTTGGTGCTTGTTTTAAGAAAAATTGTTTCGTCTCTCTCAAGATTGAAAATAGAAAGTTCAGCCTAAAACGTTTCTCCCTTCTCTTTCGAATTTCTCTGACTTCGATATTTTTGGTTATGGAGGTGATAAGAGGCAGGGGAATCCCAAACGGCGTCGTTCAAGTACCGAATCTTTCTGCTAATAATCTCTTGCAGAAGTTTTTCATCGCAAGCAACCATTTTTGTCAGCTAGACTCTGAGCCTGGTGAGAATCGAGAAGAAGCAAAGAAGAAAGAAGATGAAGCAGAAGAGGATGAGAAAGACGTGGAGCTAACGTTAGGTCTTTCGCTTAATGGACAGTTTGGTACGGATCCGAGATCGAGGAAAAGGAAGAACTTTGATCTCGGTCGATCTTCTTCGATACCGGAAGGTTTTTTCTTCGATGAACAAAGATCCGATGGAGGCTCAGACATGTTCCAGCTGGATCGGACACGTTCTCTGCCTGTCGTAACGGAGATCGAGATAGGCAAGGAGACGGAGAAGAAAAGGAAACGACCGGAGAAGACGAGGGCATTTATGGAATTTCCGGTTACAAACAGAGGAACATATCTGACAGAAGATAAAAACAGAGGCCAAGCCGCCGAAACAGAGAAGGCGAGGGCATTTCTGGAATTTAAGATTCCACCGGGCAAGGAGGGAAAGGAAGATAAAGATCGTTTTGTTGTTACTGGTCCGGTCAACGGAAATGGTAAAAATGGAAATACGGCGAAGAAGAAGAAGAATGTGGAAGTTTCAGGAATGGAGAAGGCGAGGAACATTCTAGAAGACATGCCTTGTGTGTCGACGAGAGATGTCGGAGCCGACGGGAAACGAGTGGAAGGGTTTCTTTATTGGTACGGAGGGAAAAAGGAAGAGGTCAAGATAGTCTGTGTTTGCCACGGCAGTTTTCTTTCTCCGGCGGAGTTTGTTAGGCACGGCGGAGGTACCATCAGCGACGACGGTGGTGGTGATGTTATGATTAACCCTCTTAGACATATTGTTGTTAAACTTCCTTCTTCTTCCTGGTAGTTCATATTCGATCTAGGGATTATTTATTTATCCCCAACTATATATTATTAGAGGTCTCATTTTTTTTTTTCTCAATTTTCAAAGTGTAACGATGTCAAAATAATTTGACCGACGACTAAGCTGAAGCATGTACATTTGATTTCAATTTATTATGATATTATTTTAGTTTAGTGTGTAAACAGATGTTTTTTTCTTTGACGTTAGAAAGATTCATTGATATCAAGAGGGAAAGGAAAGAGAGTTCAAAACTGAAGAGAGGTAAATACAAAGCCAAGAATAACTATGGCAAGAGAAGTGTTTTCTCTGGGCCTTTAAGTCTCATGGTGGATCCGAGACGACTGCTTCATAACTAATGCGATCAGTGAGCCAAGACCCAAGAGGGGTGCTATATATGATTGATAACGGTCATGCTTAGTAACACATCGATGGAGAGCCCACGGCTATATTCACATCACCTTCATTATGGAGCATTACGCTTGGCATTAACTCTTTATGAAAGAAAAGGTCTACGTGTACATGAATAGTTGCGAGAGTCGCTCTATTCGATACCAGATACATGGAAGAACCATGACTTTTTCATGTCAACCAAAGCAAGCCACCGATGAATAAACTCAGACCATTACCGACAATCATCCCAATTACGCCGTAAGGCCTACCGTACGACACAAACGATGGGTGGAGCTGCTTGCTTGTCCGAAAGATGATTGATTATTCATAACAATTAGAGATTTACCTGTGCAACGACAGAACTCAGATTCAGCATGATCACGATTTAGGGTTTGCTCTTGTTCACAAGCGGATAAATAAATATCCGGATGGTCTTCCAAATGGGCCAGCATCTTCTTTTATTCGCCTTTACTCTTGGGCCTTAACTCGAACTTTCTCGGGCCCGTTTCTTAGAATGGAAATGTCAATCAAACCCATAGCCCGAGACCCGAGTTTCTCAAAATGGAAATGTCAATAAAGAAAAAGAACCCCACAAAACTCTCTATATAAAACAATTTACAAGTGGGAGAAACACATTAGCTACAACAAATTCTTTCTCATATTATGTGTTCTGCTTCCTGAGAGATCAACCTTCCTATGGCTTCCCCTTTAAAATGTCCTTTTTACCCTCGAGAGAACCCAAAGGAAATATTAACCTCTCTTTCTTCTTCTTCTTCTTCTAACCACTACTACACAAACAAGTTTACAACTAAGAGCAAAATAAACCTTTTTTTAAGAAAGAATAATAATCAAATCCTGCGGAGGGAGGTGCTAACACGACGGGGGCTGGAGCTGCTTTAACCGTCTTACAACTTGCTTCATCGTCGGCCTCGTTGATAGAGAATCCACCGTACAAACTACTGCTAAATGCAGAACCTCTACTAGATCATCATGCGGACCCGCGTCCCATAATCCCGCTGTGAAAAACTCCTTTGCCCGTCCTTGTCTCAGCAGCATACAAGCCCACTGCACAATGTTGAATCCGTTACCATATGAAACAAACGACGGATCTAGCGCTTTCTTGTCCGAAAGCAGCTCTAGAAGCACCACTCCGTAGCTGTAAACATCCGCTTTGTCCGATACCCGGCAAGTCATGGCGTACTCAGGCGCTACATACCCAAATGTACCTGCCACACCTGTTGTTGCATGCGTTTCTGATGTCCCAAGCAATCTTGCTAACCCGAAATCTGATAAATATGCGTTGCAATCATCATCTAGGAGGATGTTGCTTGGTTTAACATCTCGGTGAAGCACCCGTGGGACACATTGGTCATGGAGGTAAGCGAGTGCTCGAGCTATATCCAGGGCGATCTTGTGAAGAACTCTCCAATCTCTTGTGGATCTTTCTTGGATGAATTTCTCGAGGTTGCCTCTTGGGAGATAGTTGTAAATCAGGAACATCTCCGTTTCGCTAGCGTGGTAACCGATGAGAGTCACGAGGTTCGGGTGTCGAAGTCTACCAAGAGTTTTGATCTCTGCGTGGAACTGTTGGACTCCCTGAAACCGTCCGATAGAGAGGCGTTTGATTGCCACAACCACGTCTTGAGAGATTTCTGCTTTGTAGGTCGCTCCAAATCCACCGTTTCCAATCAGATTGCTCGCATTGAAGTTTCCTGTGGCTCTAACCACGTTGTCAAAGGTTATTGGAACTCCGATGTCCATAAACATAGTGACTTCACGTTTTGTAGTGGCCATGATCTTCGATTTCGGATGCCATTTTCTCGTGTAGAAGAAGAGAATCACAAGAGCGATCAGAACCGAGACAATTGCTGAAGCTGATGCGATTGAAGCAATCTCTAGCGAGTTGAATCCGCCCTTTCCTGCCGACTGAGATGGAGCGTTTTCAACAGGCGAAGATGCGTAATCCTGTGTGATAGAATCTCCTGTGGAGTCTCGGGATTCCGAAGACGGAGTCGTCAGAGAAAACACATGGCAAGGTCGAAGATAGGGGTTTCCACGAATACCGCTGCATTTCGTCAGCCCGTTGGTTGAAGGAACTGGACCTGACAGATTGTTGGAGGAAACATTGAAAACCGCAAATGTTGCGAAACCAGATGGGATTGGGCCAGAGAGGTTGTTATTGTTGAGAAGCAGGACAGTGAGATTCTTCAAGTTTATAAAATCATGAGGAATGCCGCCAGATAGATAATTTGAAGAGAGATCAAGAACATCCAAGGAATGTAACTGACCAAAGCTCTGAGGAATTTGCCCCGTGAGGTTATTATTCGCAATCGAAAGATATGTCAAAGCTGTCATCTTCTTCCCGAGGCTACCCGGTATCTGACCTTGCAACTGATTCCAGCTCAGATTAAGAGCAACAAGCGAACCTAGATCCCCGAGACTCGAAGGGATTGGCCCGAAGATCTGATTCAACGAGGCATCAAGAACCTTAAGAGAAGTGCACATGTTGTTTAGTCCCTGAGGAATCCGACCTGAGAGCTTGTTGAAGCTTACATTGACATAAACAGCTTTGAGTTCGTCGCAGTTATCAAACAGATTTCCAGGGAATTGCCCGTACAACCGGTTCCCTCCAGCAGAAAATATGTAAGAGACTCGCTTTCCCAACCGCTCTTGTGCAAGTGGTATAGACTTGAGAGTACCAGTGAAGTTGTTGTCTGCAAAATTATGAAACACGGCCGGACCTCCATCACCTCCAAGATCTATCAGGGAAGTTCCAACTTGAGCCTTCTCGGTGAAGAAGGAGAGATAAACAGACGACGGGTCGCTGTAAGATTCAATAGAAAACCTGTCAAAGTAAACAACAGGAGGACAATGGCTTGTGGTATTTTTGAGAAACTCAGGGATTACACCCGATAAGCTATTTCCACCAACATCAAAAACACTCATGCATGGGACCGAAATCTCTTTGAGAAGCTCTCCCGTAAGCCTATTCGAGCTCAAATCAAGAAGACGAAGGTTCTTACAGTTACTAAGACCGACAGGAATTTCACCTTTAAAGAAGTTCTGACCCAAATTAACCATCTCCAAGTTTTGACATGAACCCCAATCTCCTGGAAACCTCCCTTCTAACGTAGCCCTTGGCACCCAAAGTATCTTTAGTTTCGGAAGCGTAGTGATTTCCTCCGGAATTCCTCCTTGATAGAAATTGAAATCCTCGGTCATCGAGGTTAAATCAGCGCCTGGAGGGAGATCAGCTTCCCCTCTTATACTATTAATGTCTTCATACACATTGTACAGATTGGATAACACGAGAACAGACAACGAAGAGCAATTCCCGAGTTGAACAGGTAATGGACCACTAAGAGTGTTCCTAGAAACATCCAAAACCTCAAGCTTCTGAAGATTCCCAAATTCTAAAGGGATAGTCTCCTCCAACGTATTCATATACAACAACAACGACCTTAAACCGCCACATCTCCCCAAACTCTCTGGAATCCTCCCAGTCAAGAAATTACCAGACAAATCTAAATGCTCAAGATTTCCACAGTTATCCCCAATATCTTTAGGCAAAGAGCCTTGAAGCCAGTTTAACGGCAAGTGCACCACTCTGAATCTCCCAACAAAACCAGGAACAGTTCCATTCAACTTATTACCACCCAAATTAAAAATCTCCAACTTTGACAGATTCTTCAGCGAATTAGGGATTTCACCTGAAACTCGGTTAAACCCTAAATTCATAACCCGCAAATTCCGTAACCCAGTAAACTGAATAGGCAACGACCCGGTCATCAAATTCCCTTCCAGATCAAGAACTTCAAGCTTCTCCATTCCCCAGATTTCAACAGGAATCTCTCCACTAAACGAATTAAAGGGCAGAGACAAAACCCTAAGTTCTGTGAGACCCATGATTACAGAAGGCAAATTCCCCGCCAAAGCTCCATGATTTCCGGCGCAATCCCTCCGAATACCAAACCCATACAACGGAAACGTACCAATATCACCACAAATGAAACGATTTCGACTAATTTGAGAACTCCCTTTATCGCTTCCAGAGCCACTAATGTTAAGAGCCATGACTCGAGAGGTCGAATCGCACGATACGCCAAACCAGGAACAATAATCTTCACTCTCCTCGACCCAGCTAGCGAGAATCGCACCAGGGTCCGATACAGTTTTCTTAAACCGAAGCAACACCGATTTGTCCGAATCAGCTAAAACAGTGATTTTTCCGGCGAGACAGGTAGCGAAACAGAGTAAGCAGAGCGAGAAGAAAACGTCTGAAGGCATCTGTCTGCGGAAAAAACGCCATTTGATCACTGAAGAAGGCAAAGAAGTCATCTTCGTAACTTATCCCCAAAAATGTTTTTACACACCCACCTCGCAAGGTCTGCTAATTTAGCAATTGACGAGCAAAAGATCCTTCCTTCCTTTTACCGTGCGAAACAATCCCAAGCTCGACCCTTTAACCCTAATTTAGGGGGATGATGAGAAGCTTTTTTAGTGAGAGAAACTGATGAAGCAGAGAGAGAGAAAGAGAGATAAAATCCAAAAAAAAAGAGGAGAGAGAAAGAAAGAGATGAGAGAATTCAACACTGTCACTGAGGAAGACGCGTTTTTTTCTTCTCTCTCTCTTTCTTTCTTTTTTTGTTAAAAATATCTTAAATGTTTTTTAATTTAATTTAGGAAAATTTGGATGTATAACCAACAAAAAAATATAAATTAAGAAAGTAACCATAAAAAAAAAACTTACATTATAACATATGTGTAATATATATTATTACAATTTTGCCCTCACAACTAACCACCACCAATGGCCACCACCGCCGCTGTCATCACCACCGCCGTCGCCGGAACCACCGCCGTCGCCGGAGCCACCGCCATCGTCGGAGCCACCACCGTCGCCGGAAAAACGCCGTCGCCGGAAAAACCGCTGTCGCCGGAAAAACCGCCGTCGCCAGAACCACCACCGCCGCCGGAGCCACCGCCGCCGCCGAAACCACCACCACCACCTTTGGTCATTTCACCTACCCTTTAGGTTAGTTAGTTAATTAATTCATATATAGTGCTATATTCTTAATTTTATTTTGAAAATATGTTATTCTTGCAAATCACTCTTTAATTTATGCAGAGAATAAAAAATCGTTCTCTAAAATGTGAATGTAGGAGTGGGCCCATTTTACTTAGCAAACTCTTTTTTTTTTTGTAATATTAGCTTCGAAGAAGCATTTTTGATTATTTATCAATAAGAGTTTTTAAAGTTAATTAGTAACATCAAAAGTTTTTAACATTGAAGTCTCACCGCATCATATCGCAATAGGTACATGATTAATAACAGTAGGTAGATGCAAGATTATCTTATCACTAAATTTGAGGTCACATTATTTTTTATTTTTTGTTTAATCGAAGTAATGAAATAAAATATGTTGAGTCACAATAAATGTATCAATATTTCAACTCTCCTAGACGTATCAATCTCTCATCGACCAATGTTATGCTAAGATCTTGAAGCTAACATTTATTACAGATAGATATATGTACAGTATATGGAGTATATTCAATCTTATACTTGTAAGAAAACTTCACAATCTCACGCTAAAAAGATTATCCTGCCAATTTACATAAATGCATGTTACAAAGATGTGTTTCTTTATAACAAAAAATATTGAGAAATTGTAAAGTGAAAAAGGGACAGAATCGCCTCTTTTCAAGGATGAGTAACGAAAGGAAGCTTCAAGATAAAGCAAATCTAAATGTTTTTTCTTAAATATGAATTTATAATTTTGTCACGTACCCAACACATTAGCCACATTTATGGGGATAAAAGAGTGAGTTATAAACATTTTTAAATGAATAATCAGAAGAAGAAAAAAAGTTTGTTTTTCTTTTAGTGAATTATATCTGTCTTTTAGCTAATACTTATAATAATAAAGTAACAATGAAATGTGGTAAAGTAACAATGAAATGTGGTCCTTGTATGTATGTATGCATCACCATGACATAAGAATTATATCACCCATCAACCGGTTTACAACATTCGGTAACCGAATTTAATCGATCCAAAATGTGGTTTCAATCCTAAAAACTGGAACTCGATTTGGATCATCACTCTTAGTTTAGCTTACAACTATTTTCATCCGTACAATGTACACATAAGAAGAAGAATAGCTTCAAACGCAAACGCAACTACTTGAATATACTGCATTTTGAAGGACAATGGAAGCAAGAGAACCAGCATGTTCTTGAAGCTTTTAGCGATTGCGTTGGAGATTCGAATTTTTTCGATGCCTTCCTTTGTTGGATTGATTCCGACTCAGATTCAGTTAGCATACTAGATTCTGAATAAGGTTGCAGTTGCTGTTGTGGCAGTAGCATTCGCGATTGAGGCAGCTGATACTCAGGTTTTCGCTTGTGGGAAAGGTTTCCTTTGATTTGCACAGACGGCGTTTTAATAACTGCATCTTCTTTTTGCAATCTGTTACATGAATATCAAAGAAAGTAAATTAGGGTTTTAATGTTTCTTCTTGCCCAAGAAATCATCAAAAAGGACCGATAAATCGAGATTTGAAGAAAACAACTTACAGTGGGAATGCGAAAGAACCAATGCTGTTATTGCTGGTGTCCGAACGACAAGAAATGCTCGGGGAATGTGAAACTATACTGTTCGAGTCTTCTGGTTTATTCTCCTTCACAGTTTCTATTACTTCTTTCTCTACTAAAACCTCCGCTTCGATCATATCTTCATGTTCATCGTCGCTCTCGACTTCACTCATCTTCTCTTCTCCTTCTTCATTATTGTCAATCTCAGAGTCTAAATTCTCCACCTGGTATGGTTCCTCCTCTGAAATCGTCTCTTTCTCAGATTCATTTGGTTTTTTACCCGGAGGTAAAGGAGGAGGAAGAGGAACCGTGTTGATTTCGGTTATCTCGTGAACAGTTTCTTCAAATTTTGGTATCTCAGCCAATCTTAATGCTGTTGAAATGCTAAAATTCCCATCGTGGATGCTAAACAAAGATTCATTAGAAGCTAGACTCCATTCAGTCGAATTACCCGGTTTACTAGAGAAAACTGAAGATGGAATTCGGGATGGATCGTAACCGGGTAAATCAACAAGGTGGTTCTGGTGATTTGAGGACCAAGACGAACTGGTATAAGAGCTAACAGATGAATTATAAGCCTGATGTGACTCTCTCAGTTTCTGTGCCTCAGAAGCAGACAATGATGGCTTAGGAAGAGGAAAGTGTCGGATATCAAAGTGGCCATCCGAAGAAGCAGATGTTATCGATGAAGATCGTGAAGATGACCTTGAAGACATCGAATGCTTCCATTGATGTTCTTTATTTTCAGTTTCTGTTTCCATTGAGTGATTAAGAAGAAGAAAAAAACAGAGCGCTTTGTTTTTGTCTTGTAGAAATGATTGATAATTTGTACAGATGAATCACACCTGAGATTGTGAAGAAGATTTAAACATAAACTTATGAGGATTTGTTTATTTATACGCTGTAATAAAAAATAAAAAATAATAACAATAAGTCTCAATGAAGTTTTTATTTGTTTGTTTGTTGTTAGTTAGCTAAGATTATTAGTTATCTATGCGGAAACGATTTATGAACTAAACTAAGGGATTGTTGCAATTGAATAAAGTTAGTAACGAGATTAAGACGAGAACTTAGTTCAATTGTAATGACATGTGTTGTTCAAGATAAGTAGATGACTAATCAAAGTTTATTCTGTTAATACTAGCTCCCCTCTATGTTTAGCCAGATAATTCAGCAAATAAAAAAAAAAAACAATTTCAGCTCACTACAGTTGTCAAATAATTTGTAAGTTAGGTAAAAAAACAGAGTTAACTATCCGTTTTTATTCCACGGTTTAATCTTAACAAAACAGAAAAACAAGACAAGAGTAATTAATCAATTTATTTTATTATAGGCGAGAAATACATTTATCCAAGAATACATGCAAAAAAATATTTGGTTCAAGCCACAAATTCACAATGTCTTCTTCAGCAACTGAGAGATGACAAACCGGATTCCGGTTTGCGTAGTTCTTGAATCTGAAACAATTTGTTTGGATGTTAGTAAATTATTTAAACCAAAGATAAATAAAACCGGTTTTGATTTTGGTATGATGAAATTTACCTTGGTTTGGTTAAAGCTGGGTGGAATAAGAGAACCAGAAGCTTTTCTGGTCCTTGCGAGAAGACCTTTAGTTACTGGAGACATCATTGCATCAGTTGGGCTTCTGTACCTGAGAAAAGGAACTTTTTTTTTACAAATTTATGTTTCTTTACCAAATTTTATGGTTCAAACCGGTTCACCTAACCGAATTACCTCTCTGGGTGCTTGAAAGCTATAGGGACTCTTAAACGATCCGGAGTTCCGATTTTCTTCATCGGCTCGTTGGTTGAGGCTCGAGGAGGAGGAGAATCATGATTCCGGCAGGATTCCGGGAGCGGTTGTGGTGGCGATAGAGGGTTCAAAGTAGTGATTTCTTGGTGGTCGGGTTGGATTTTGAGAGGTGTTTCAAGATTCGATTGTTGCGACTCCATTAGAGAAAGAGATAGAGTTTAGTGTGACGATGGATTTGTGAGTAAGTTTAATTTATATGTATGTGATTGACTAAGAACATTACCGTTAGTGGAAATTGGGGTCACAACGGTCGGATTTTTATATTATCTCAAGTCTGTGTACAGTTGTTTCTTAGTGAGATTAGTGACCGTTTGGATTTAAAAAAGAAAATGTTTTAAATGTCTTTTTAGCAAAAATAGGATTTGATTTTTGGAAGATTTTTTCCCAATATAAGTTAAACAAATACATGATAGAAAATGACACTGTTTGAGTGTTTTCACTCTTTCTATACTAGTTTAGAGTTTAAATTGGGCCAGGCCCAATAGAGGTGTCGATCAAAGTATTGCGGCCGAGAAGATGACAGAGAGGGTGGGTTGAAGGAACAGCGACGTATGATTGGACGGTGACATAAGCGACTGTAAACGCCACGTGAGGGAAGCAGAGATTCACCGCTTCGTGTCCTTAAAAACGTCACAGAAAGAGAAATGGAACAAGGAAGAAAAGACTGACACACGAAGTCTGATGAATCTGTTGGACAAAAATATGCGTAAGCAAAGTTTCTTGATATGACCTTAACACTATTCGACCTCACTGCTTCCTTACTCTGTTTTTATTTTAACATTTTGTTTTAAAAAAAAACAATGATCTGTATTTAAATAAAAAGATACGAAAAGAGTCATTATTATGTAACTTTAATATCTATCTCATTTGAGATACTTTAAATACCATAATTTACTTTAAAATCTTTTTTTCTTCACAACGTTGGAGATACTTTAAGCCAATTTGTTGAAAGTAAGAAAATACTTGCTAAGCACGGAAATAAGAATCTTCTAAAGCAATTGTCAGTATTTTCCCAATATAGGCTTTACTTAATATCAAAAATAAATCACGGTTTAAAAGAAAAAAAAATTAGCAAAAAAACCATAAATGATGCAAAGTTCTTGTACTGATATTTATATAGCTTTTATTGAATATTCGTAAAGATGAAAAAAAAAAAAAAAAAAAAGAGAATATTCGTAATTTCGTATCGTATAACTTAAAATGAGTAGATATATTTCATTCAGAAAATTGTATAAATTCCAAAAGAGCATATCATTGATACGAGGCGAAGCAGTGTACATGGTGACGCATTAATGGCTTCTTCTCCAGTAACTTCGCTTGTACGTAAAAATCGATATAAATGTAAATATCGATTTTTTTTTCTTCTTCTCCAGTAACAAAAAAAATAAATCGATATTTACATTTATATCTATCATTCATAAATTACATTACTGTGGTTATGTAGTCGTCAATAATGGTGCATACTTAAATGCACTTGTTTCATTTATACGAGAAGTTGGGTCTACATTATCAAATCGACACTAGAAAACTTGTATACACATAATTGCAAACCCTTTATGAAAAAAAAAAAACCTTGAATACACAGAACTGTATAAAGAAAAAACAACTTTCGGCTAGTTTAGTTTAGTTTTGTCATTGTTTTCAAATAAATAAACTTATTAATTCATAATGTAAACATTATAAAACGACTAACAAAAAAGAAAAAAGAATATATATAGAATAGAATTATGAATTATCTATATACAACTAATCATACTTGTCGAAGTCAAAAAGCACCGTAATGTGAAATAATTCTACATCTGATTATTTTATTCACAAGATATAAATGATAGAAGAGATTGAGTGTATCATATACGTGGGGGAGAAAAATGTATTACAAATTATAATACAAATGGAGGAATTTATTGTAATGGCCTATGAAAAGATGGTCAAAGTTGTAGGTATTTTATCAGTAGAAAAGAGAGAATACTTTTTAGTTTTTCCTGTAACATCGAGACATCAATTTCGTGCATGGGTCCAACTATTTATAGAAAACCAGTTTTACACATTTTTATGTTTAATTATGTAATATTTATTCACTAAAAGATTGTAAAAAGTCATGTTTAACTCTGATGTTTGAAGTGGTGATATTTAATTAAACATAAGTGGAGTATTATCCCCTGGCCGGAATTTCTTTAATGTATAGGGCAAAATGTCTCGTTTTTCTATAGCTGATTGCACAAATATATTTAGTAGTTTTAGCTCAGATTTTGTTTTTGTTTTCGTTCCTTTGTTTTATGCATTTCAAGAAAATAATTTGGCTTTTTTATTCAATTTCACATTGGATAAGCATCGAAGTGTTAAAGAAAGTAAAGTTTGTCTCTTTTTTCCCCTTCAATTCAGTTGGATTTTAAAGATAACAATCTCTCAATATTTCTAAGAGCATCTCCAATGGAGGAGTTCTCTCTATGAGCTCTCTCAAAATTTTTATTATAAATTTTAAGAAAATGTTTGATGAGAACTTTTGTTTTTTTTTTTAATTTTTCTGTGTCCAATGGTAGGTTCTCTAGTGGGGTTCTCTTAGAAAAAAAAATTTATAAAATTTTTTGTTTTATAAAACAATAATTATTGCAATTCATAAAAATATTAAACATACATTATTTTCAAACATTTAAAAAAATATTTGCAAAAACAAAACCGGAATAAAGATTAGTTGTACTCTTGATTGTTGCGAAATTTTTGTCATATATGTTCAACCAAATCAGCTTTCAATTATTGATACATATCATGATCACGAATGCGATTTCAAATGCCCATCATATTCCAGATTTTTGACAATTTTTTTTTTTCAAACCATATAAACTATTTTCACTTATTTTATGTGTTATGCCATTGTTTAATGTCCCTTGTTTTTGCTGGGACATGGCTTTTAAATTGCTATGAACGTTTCTTCTAAAGCGTGGGGCACTTCACAAGCATTTTTAATGTTCTTGTTAACTCACATACCCTCAAGAAGATAAACGAGTGTAGGTATTAAGTAACAACGCTAAATGCTAAACAATTTCGCTACATCTACCAAGGCCAACACGGAAACAGAGTCGAGCCACATTTCAGACTTATTAAACAAAACAAGCACAGATCATGTAAAAACCAACGATGATAAAGAGACAAGTAGGATATAATTCCAGTAGAGAAGAAGTTCGATTTGTCATTAAAAAGAACAGAGGAGATAAGAATGGAAACATAGTTCATCAATTATTTCTAATGAGCTTTACAAGGCCCCAAAAACACAAACCACCAAAGTTTTAAAACAAACGAGACATGAACTTCTTAAACCATAAGAGAGACGAGATTTAGAAACCACCACAGAGACGGAGGACCAAGTGAAGAGTAGACATTTTATTAGCCTGAGTGGAAACATTCTTATACCAACCAGTCTCTTCACAACACTGAGATTAGCTTGCAAACTGTATAGACATTTTATTTCAGTACTGTAAGATTAAATGTTTAGGACTAAAGAAATCCAAATTCACAAAAGAATCTCGCTTCAAAACTGGCTAACTTGGATAATATTGTTCTTCATCACCACAAAAACCTCATTTCAAACTACAAAGCCTAAACCACACAAAAAAGCAGGGAGTAGAGATAAGAGAGAGCACCGTCGGACAGCAATCGAGCACTGCTCCGCCATGTAAGAACTCCCCTTTCAACGAATTGGTGCTCACATCATACAATCTCACACGCTTAATTGTAGCAAACACACAACAACAGAACAACAAAAAAAAGCTTTAGAAGAAGAAGAGACTTCAATTAAATCAGTAAAAGCCAAAGAAAGGGACCTTATCCCATGAAGAAACGAGGAGTTACTGTTATGGAAAATCGGAGATTGGAAAAGCCGTCGGACGGCGGATTCGGGAGCTCACGACCGGCAGACGGAGTTGAAGTCATTTTTCCCGTTGAAGATCACAAATTCTAGGGTTCCGGATGAAATACCTCTCACCCACCATAATTTCACCTTTAATTTCACTCTCCATCATAGGATTCATCGGAAAACAATGCATCACCCTGTGATTTATCGGATTCCGCCATCGCACAAATCGCCCGAGAGAGATAGAAAGTAGGGCAAAAAAAATCGATGAAAACAAAGTACAAAAGGCGTTTTTTTTCTTCCTTTTATTAAAATGCAACAGCCAATGAACGACCGCCACGTACCCGTCTCTCTTGTGTTCCCAAATCTCTCCAGAGAGAACCACCTCTCTTCTTAATTTGCCTTTTTAATTTATTTTTATTCCAATAAACCAAAAGAACCTCACAAAAATTTGCTTACAACCTCCTATTGGAGGTGCTCTTAATGTAATCTTTCAGAATTCAAGTCATGTTGAGAACATTGGATAGTGTAATTCCAATTTTAGGTTCAATGGAAAACTTTGCTTTTGTGTGGCAACACAAAATGCCCAAAGACTTGTTCAGAGACCAATTTGCATGCCTTAGGAGAAATACGCACACTTTACAAATGCTATAAACTTTATGGATTAAGACCACCAGCAGGTTCTGAATTACTATCGAAGGCATCAGCTATCTGGTAATCCAAGGCGAAGGCAACTAGTTCATATATATATCATAAGATAAATGATGGTGCAAATGTTATGACATATGTAGCTCATATGCTTTACCTACTTTAAGTTACTTTTTGGAAATTATCAATTTAGTATTTCTATCATATCGTTTTAACACACTTGACCACACATTTCTTGGAGTTTTTGTTGTTTGAATGTGTACATGCATGTGGTGTATGTATATATGGACACACACGATTGATTTAATGCTCTGTCATATCAAATAACGTATTTACTATTACAAGCTGGTGGTGACATTGAAGTCATCATTGTATCTTCTTCCATATTCATAAAGTTACTGTCACTGATACTATTGGTGGGCCATTTTTTACCATCACCCATTTTTTCGCAATTATTTATCCTTTTTTCTCAAATATGTTTTCTACATAAAAATAGCTTCAGGAAGATAGACGCAAACCTACGCCAAGAAAAGAGAGAACTCCAAGTCTCCAACCTAATAATTAAAGATATTAATATCTGACTATTCTAACACCACATTAGCATTAGCATAAGAAACATAGCACTTAAACCGCAAGTGTCCATGTCATGGTTTTATGCCGTTTGATAACATATTGCTGCGAAGTACAAATTATGCAAATTGGTATTACATGAGTTAGAGTTAGGATACAAGTTTTTGAGTCAATTGTACTAATCAAACTGCCAAAACAATTATTTTTTCAGCTTTAAAATTTTAGTTACCTTTCCATTATCTTGGAGTTAATATAATACTGAATAACTTAATTTGTTTCCAAACTATATATATTTTTATTATTATAAAACATTTCAATGTCATTTAAATATTATCCTCATTTCGTCTATATCTCTCTCTCTCTATTTAAGACAAGCTAAAGGTAGAACTGTAGAAGCCAATCTCAAAAGTCTCCGACACTCTCTAGATTTCCTTTTCTCCTTCTTTCTGGCCATGGCAATGGCAAAACACGTAATTTTCACCACTCTCATGGCCATACTTGTAATGACATCTCAAGGAAGAATTCCAACAGGAGGAGAGAAAGAAGCAGAGGCTGACCGAATTACGTCACTTCCAGGTCAGCCTAACGTCACGTTCGAGCAGTTTTCCGGCTATGTCACCGTCGATAAACTTTCCGGAAGATCACTCTTTTACTGGCTCACCGAAGCTTCTGACCTCCCTCTCTCCAAACCTCTCGTAATTTGGCTGAACGGAGGTTAATTTTTACCAAACATTTGTTTTCATTTTTTATACATTCTTTTTGTGATTATTAGCTTTTTTTTGGAAACTGATTTATTTACTCAACAACATTATAAATTTCGCTAGATCTATTTTTAGCTAACCAACTAATCTCTGTCACACTTCTTGAATGGGTTTGTCGTAAATTCGTTTGTAAATGTTTCTAGTTATTTATAAACCACTCTTTATCCATGAAACTGGACTTATTTATCTATTTTATTTATATTTATCTAATTTACTATTTTTGGATTTGGCCTACTTAGGCATGGGGATAATGCCCTAACTACTAATGGAGACTCACCATTTATTTGAGCCCATATTTCTCAAATAATATCGAGTATAAAATACTTTGAACTTTTTTTATGATTCGTCTAGATTATACAGCTTGTCGTTACAATAATGCGACATCTATATATATTAGATACATGTATAATATGATATCGTAATGCTTAGTTTATTATGCATGCATTCAATAGATCGCTGTATTTTCTTGTTAGATACGTATGATATAGACAAAATTATCTTGTAATTGCTGAAAAAGTTATATCATTAAATGCAATTTTCAAACTGACATTGAGACGCTATTAAATACACAACCAACTTTTGGTCTCTTTTTGTTCACTTAAATTCAACTTCTATCAAATTTGTTAGTAATATTTTTTTGGGGGTAAATTACTCAACAACACCTATCAAACTCTATCAGTCTATTCCAATTCTCCTTTTTAATTATTAGTGTTAATCATGAAAAAAAATTAATGAACTCTAATTTAAAATTTACATTTAATTATTATTAGGACCGGGATGTTCGTCGGTAGCGTACGGTGCGTCGGAGGAGATTGGACCATTCAGGATAAGCAAAGGTGGTTCCGGTTTGTATCTCAACAAGTTCCCTTGGAACTCAATCTCCAATCTCTTGTTCCTCGAAGCTCCCGCCGGCGTTGGCTTCTCTTACACTAACCGCTCCTCCGATCTATTCAACACCGGTGATCGCCGTACCGGTAATTAAACCAAACCAACTCCCTCTACGGTTTTGCTTAACCGGTTTTCGGTTATTGAGACTCTGTTTCTCTGTTTTGCAGCCAAAGATTCACTTCAGTTTCTTATTCAATGGCTGCACCGGTTTCCGAGATACAACAACCGAGAAATCTACATCACCGGCGAGAGTTACGCCGGACATTACGTTCCTCAGCTCGCCAAAGAGATCATGAATTACAACAAACGATCAAAGAATCCGTTAAATCTCAAAGGAATCATGGTAATAATTAAGAAATCAAAATCCTCTGTTTCCATTACCAAAAAATTTCGAAATTCCGCGTTTGAAACCGCTCCGTTTTATAGGTTGGAAACGCGGTGACAGACAATCACTATGATAACCTGGGAACGGTGTCGTATTGGTGGAGCCACGCGATGATCTCTGATAGGACGTATCATCAGTTGATAAACACTTGCGATTTTAGTCGCCAGAAGGAATCTGATGAATGCGAAACGCTTTATTCTTACGCAATGGAGCAGGAGTTTGGTAACATCGATCAGTACAACATCTATGCACCGCCGTGTAACAAGTCAAGTGACGGTGGTGGTGGCTACACTGGTTCTTCCGGCCGCCGGAGTATGCGGCTCCCTCACCTTCCCCACTCCGTAAGAATTTATCTCCTCTGTTTCTTCTTTAACTTGGTTGATCCGGTTATGTTGTTTCAATGTGATAAAGTATTTCTGGTTATCTATGGTTTAATTTTGAATAATTTTCATCTTCCGGTTATTGGGAGTAGGTATTGAGGAAAATTTCCGGTTATGATCCATGTACCGAGAGATATGCAGAGATCTATTATAACCGGCCTGATGTTCAGAAAGCTCTTCATGCCAATACCACCAAGATTCCGTATAAATGGACTGCTTGCAGGTTCGTACCAAAATTGAGATGGTGTTAAATATTTTTGTTGAACAATAAAATTGGTCTTTAAGTTAGAATTGTTTTATTTTGTGTGGCAGTGAGGTGCTAAACCGGAATTGGAATGATACAGATTCAACGGTTCTCCCTATATACCGGGAAATGATTGCCGGCGGGATTAGAGTTTGGGTTTTCAGGTCTGCAATTTTTGGTTTATTTTTTGCAAAAATATTGTTGTGAAATTTAGCGACTGACTGTTATATATAACCCGTGATATTTTTATGGTCCCGGTGCAGTGGTGACGTCGATTCAGTTGTACCAGTGACAGCTACTAGATACTCACTAGCAAGACTTAGTTTGAGTACCAAACTTCCTTGGTATCCTTGGTATGTCAAGAAACAGGTGTGTAATGTGAACCCTAATCTTGTTTGGTTATCTCCGGTTTAACAAAGTAATCGATTTGAACCGAAATCGTGGATATAGGTCGGCGGATGGACGGAAGTGTACGACGGACTAACGTTCGTGACAGTGAGAGGAGCAGGTCACGAGGTGCCATTGTTCAAGCCACGTGCTGCTTTTGAGCTATTTAAGTATTTCTTGAGAGGCAAGCCACTTCCAAAGGCTTGAAAAACATTGAAGTCGAGAGAGATTGTAACATTTTAAATCATGCCCGAGAGAAAAGAAAATGTAAAGTTTGGGTTATGAGATGGTATTTAATTAAGTCTTAGTCTATTATTGACAACAAGTATTTAATTATTTAGCCTATGATTGTTTTTTCCGTTTACTTTCTCCTAAAGGCCTTCATCAATTTGTTTCCCATGTTCACACGAAAATGCATTAACCGATAATAAAGGTAACTACCGAAACTTCGTGACCCTTGTTGGTTGAAGTGGAAATGGAGCATTCACGTCGACAAAAACCATGAGTGTTCCCGCGGCAATGTCATTCCTATCATACTTGTCCATTCTGATTCCTTGTGAGTCAAAATTATCCCTCTGACATGTAGATGAATTCTCACTGCTTGGATTCAAGAAGCCTCAACCTTGAATCAGCGTTCACAATTTTCACAAGAGTGCCAGCAATATCAGCTGCCTCGATATATTTTCCTGTTACTACGAGACATTGACTCAATCCGTCGCGGTTAAAGTATGCTACATCCACCGTGATTGCGTGTAAGAATTATATATAAGAGTCTCCTTATATGCATGTCTTAAAGACTGATGACCGATATCTGAACCATCAATTAACTAAAACTTAATATCTAGTTAATTATAGACAATTGGACTTCTACTATCTATTCAAGAACCAACAAACCAACAAATTACTTTTAGCTACTATTATATCAAGACATTATAATTACTGTTTTTTTTTGTGTCAACAATTACTGAAAATTTGAGAAATGAAAAAAGAAAATAATTGACAAAAGATAACTAAATAATAAGAAGAAAATAACCAAAACATAAGCAAAAGATAAGAAAAAAATTAAAGCAAAGAATGGGTGGTCGAGTTTCTGATTGCGATGGCAGGGTTTGAAAATCTTACGGTGGAGATGGTGAGTCTGGCTTCAATGGGAGAAACGAGATTATTCTCAAACGTGCAATGGAAGGTTGCTGAAAGGGTTGCACCATTCTCTTGGATTGTTAGTTCCATTCTTCCAAGAATGCAAGGAACGAAGCAATAGAGAAAAAAAAGCGATATATAGAGAACGAAGCAATAGAGATAGACAACAATGAAGAGAGAACGAAGCAAGAGAAAGAGATAGATATATTTCTTGAGTCTTCGTGCTGTGTTTATATACAGGTTCATATTCACATTCTTATTGTTTCTGACATAAGCTATATATATTTTTGATACTTATTACATAAGTTGTTGTGACAACTCAATGACATAAATGTTTTTATCCCAAATTGGAAAAAGATATGTCACTTTACCAGTTAGTAACGAAACAGATCATCTCAATTTGTATGAACATTTACAACATATAGAGTACTTTAGTTTAAAATTACAGTATAATGTTTACGTGTTGATTCCAAGATCTTTGTAATGGGTAGATCTTATACAGAAATCATCCAAAACCTATAAGTCTGTATTGTTGGTAATTGATTTTCAATGTTTTTTTTTTTCACGAAATGAATTAATTTAATGTTAATCGTTGGTTATGTACCATGATTATTTTGCTGTTGCTTTCTACAAAGACAAAAATATTGGGACTTTGGTGTTATGGTTATCTAATGTTTTTTTTTTACTTACAATAAACTAAGCTCATTTGCTCTCTTTTGATACACAAGTCAAACTTGGGATCAAATTTGTCTTGATTCCGAAAGAAAAACGACAAAAATCAATTAGAGTTAGTTGTCGATTCATCCCGTATTAATCTTCTAAATTTTCCTATAAATGAATGATTTTTCTTATAGACAATAACTCAAAATAAATATGGATAATAACTTAAATAAAAGAATGGGAAGGCCACATGTTGTGGTCATACCTTACCCAGCACAAGGTCATGTTCTTCCTCTAATGAGTTTCTCACGTTACCTTGCGAAACAAGGAATCCAAATTACATTCATAAACACCGAGTTTAACCATAATCGCATCATCAATTCCTTACCCAATTCATCTCATGAAGATTATGTTGGGGATGGGATCAATCTTGTTTCAATCCCCGACGGTTTAGAAGATTCACCAGAAGAGAGGAACATTCCAGGGAAGTTGTCGGAGTCTGTTTTGCGTTTTATGCCTAAAAAAGTAGAGGAATTGATCGCGGAAACTAGCGGTGGCAGCTGCGGTACAATCATTAGCTGCGTTGTAGCGGATCAGAGCTTGGGATGGGCAATCGAAGTTGCAGCTAAGTTTGGGATCAGACGCGCCGCGTTTTGTCCTGCCGCGGCTGCGTCTATGGTTCTTGGATTTAGTATTCAAAAACTTATTGATGATGGTCTCATAGATTTTGATGGTAAGAACAAACAACCTTTTGTTTCAAAATTTAATACTCCCTCAGTATCATATTTAGTGATGTTTTAGGAAAATTGTTTTGTTTGATTTTATTTGATGATTCATTGGTAGAAGAATTATGAAAAAGATGCGTAATTTAGCTAATTGTTTCTTTATGTAGGGACTGTGAGGGTAAATAAGACAATTCAGTTATCTCCCGGGATGCCAAAGATGGAAACAGACAAGTTTGTGTGGGTTTGTCTGAAGAACAAAGAATCTCAGAAGAACATATTCCAACTTATGCTTCAAAACAATAACTCAATCGAGTCAACGGATTGGTTGTTGTGTAACTCTGTCTATGAACTCGAAACGGCAGCATTTCGATTAGGCCTGAAAATATTACCGATTGGGCCCATTGGTTGGGGTCATAGTCTGCAGGAGGGGTCCATGTCACTAGGAAGCTTTTTGCCTCAGGACCGGGATTGTTTGGATTGGTTGGACCGGCAGATTCCCGGTTCGGTGATATATGTTGCCTTTGGGAGTTTTGGGGTTATGGGCGACGTTCAATTAGAAGAGCTAGCAATTGGTCTAGAGCTTACCAAGAGGTAAGGATTTGGACATAACCGGGATTTGTGTTTCCGGTTTATTCTACTTTGTCTATTATCTAATAAGTTATGTTGATCCATTCAACAGGCCAGTTTTGTGGGTCACTGGTGATCAACAAACAATCAAACTCGTGTCGGATCGAGTCAAAGTGGTGAGATGGGCTCCACAACGGGAGGTTCTTTTTTGTGGAGCCATTGGATGTTTCGTGAGCCATTGTGGATGGAATTCAACTCTGGAAGGAGCCCAAAATGGTATACCATTTCTATGCATCCCTTATCTTGCAGACCAATTTATCAACAAAGCATATATATGCGATGTGTGGAAGATTGGATTAGGAGTTGAGAGAGACGAACGAGGAGTGGTTCCGAGGTTAGAGGTGAAGAAGAAGATCGATGAGATCATGAGTGACTATGGAGAGTATAAAGAACGAGCTATGAAGATTAAAGAGGTTGTGATGAAAAGTGTTGCAAAAGATGGAATTTCTTGTGAGAATCTTAATAAATTTGTCAACTGGATCAAATCACAAGTGTATTGATAAAATTTGTAAACGGAATAATGCAAGAAGAAATGAAATGTATCCAATTCAAGTTTTCAACCAAACATCAAACAACTTATTAGTGTGTATGGGAAAATTATGAAGAGAACAAAAAAAAAAAGAGGATCTCTAGCATTTTTCCAGTAGAGGATAAAGAGTAAATGGTACACTTATTTTACCAGCGATGATGGTAAATTATGGAGATACAGTAAGAAAAACTCAAAAATAATGAATCCATCATCACCTTGTTCTGCTCTCTCCGCCTACGGAATCTCCCCGTGGGCGAACCTTGCGGTTCTGTGACCGTTATTTCAGAGCCTTAGTACCGGTTCCAGTAGGTTCTGCGTCTGAACTTGTTGTAGTCTGGCAAATCTTGGATTGGACCAATGGCTGAGATTGCAATGTCCTGCACATAATCCCAAAACATCCCCTTAATCACTGTTGAGTTTTGTACTCTTGTTTAGCAGTCTAAACCCTGGAGGATAGAGAGATAGAGGGAGGGAAAGATATAACTTACCTTGTCATAGATATATTTGTTGGCAACACGTTTTACCGTGCTGGCATCAACAGCATCGATCCTAGCAAAGAGTTCAGCGGTTGGGATTCTACGCCCATAGGTCAGCAGCTGCATTTAGAACAAAAATCCAGGCGTTTTATAAGAATGATTTTGAAGACAAGCACCAACTATAAGGAAAGCTAAGGACTGTTATCTTTGACCAATGCATTTACAAACTTATAAGTTCTAAATCAAGATGCTTAGATGATTCATTGCATACCTGACGACCAATATCTTCAGCAATTGGGCTGGTTCCATCCATGTGAAGTAACAATGATGATTTCAGCTGCAGCGAAATTTAAAATCAATTGGCATTTAAAATCTATCTACAAGCTTTAAACAGATCACATATGTAACTAGCTTAAAGCTGAATCTTGGGAAAGAGAGAAAAAACAGTTGGGCGTTTAACCTGATTTCGTGCACGTGTCACATCAGCGTCTGAAACTCGGTAGGCCAGCTTGGTTACCTCATTCATAATGGCATATGACAAATCATCCAAGCAATCGGCCTGGAAAAAGTACCTTTCAATTTGTTAAAAGAGATATTATACGAGGCATTCATGAGATGAAACTGCCTATATCAAGAAATTCAACAAAGAGATAACAACTAAGCTAGCTAGGGAGTTCTGGGTTGACCTTGGCAACTGCATAAACACCGAACAGTCCAGTATCCTTGTAGTTGGTGTTGAATGCCATTATGCTTTCTGCTATTTCATTAATGGCAACCCTCTGGGTCAGGTCAGAACTGCACACAGAAATATAATGTTCATCAACACATTGCAAAAAAGCTTCTCCTTGAATTCATGGCTAGAAATATTAGTCAGAGAGCAAACTCACCCCACGTGTTTTCCCCCACCAACATTTTTGTTCCAAGAACCCAACATAGTTTGCATAACCATAAGAGCAACGGAATCTGGATCAGTCCAAGATGCTCCCTCAAAGGCAACAGCAAATTGTGCAAGGGGTAGGTCGTCATCAATCATTCGGACCTGAGGAGAATTTCAAGGACAAGAGAATTTAGAAAGATGGAACATTGCATCAAAAAAATCAATCATATGGGTTGTGTCCTTACCTCAGAACCAGTAAAACTAGCTGGTTCATTGGCAACCAGTTGAGAAGTAGTTGTCGGATCAGATGACAACTTGGTAAATAGCTTCTTCACTTGCTCAACAACTTCCTCATGCTTGACAGCTCCAGCAGCAGCAATCACCTGAAATTGTTTTGGATGAACAAACATATGAATCCTAACAAATTTCAATAGCTGATTGTCGGAAATGATAAGAAGTAACCAAAATTTATACCATCCTGGAAGCTGTGTAGTGAGTCTTAATGTAATTCTGTAGATCCTCTCTGGTGATCGACTTGACGTTTTGAGCAGGTCCCAGAATAGTTCTCCCAAGGGGTGTGTATTGGAATGCAGTGGCATGTAAATGGTCAAGAACCACTTCATCTGTTTGTCCCTCCACCTAAGACAAAACCAATCACCAAAAAGCTATAGCTTAGTGTGTATTCTATCTTAAACTGATTAAAGAAACAAATAACTCCAAGAAACACGTAAACCATAGTAGCAAGCGCTCTAATATCTCCCAATGCAAATTGCCGAACAACAATACGACCAACATATTACTAAGTCAATAAAACCTCAAAAAGCGAGAGATAAATCAAAAACAGAACAAAGTTTTCATTTTTAGAGTATTGATTTAAGAAAGCACAATAACAATTCTTTATACAACATATGATTACGCCAATACAGCCTTAAAAAGAGGCAGCTAAACTAAGAACATAATAAAGTTTTCATTTTTAGGCACAAGGGAAACTGAAACTAAAAAAAAACACAAACTATGGTCCGTAGGACCAAACACTGTTAAATCTGTTTATACAGCATGTAATTAAGCCAATACAATCTTAAAATACCAAAGAAAAATCGAGAACAGAACAAAAAGTTTAGATTTTGAAGTACAGAGATAAATACATTACCTCTTGCATTTCCCTGAGGATGACATCTCGTTCGCGGTTAATTCTCTGTTCCTCGAACTTGGAATTCTGTAAGATATCAGCCAAGACATCCAAAGCCTGGTTCACATTCGAATCCAAAACCTTAGCATAATAAGTGGTCTGTTCCCTAGATGTATACGCGTTCAAGTGACCACCAATATCTTCGATCTCTTCCTCCAACGCTCTCACTGTACGCTTATCCGTGCCTTTGAATATCATATGCTCCAGAAAATGAGCCGTTCCGTTGGTCTCATCCGACTCGAACCGAGATCCAGCGTCGATCCAGACTCCAACGGTGGCGGTCTTAGCCGAGAGATTTGACTCAGTAGCGACTCGTAGACCATTGGGCAAGGTAGTTACACGAGTCTCCGGAGCTGACAAGATGTGATTGTGGGAAGCAAGGATCGGATGTGGAGATGCGTATTTAAGGAACCTCTTATCTGGATTCTCGAGCTTCTTGATCTTATTTTTCATAATCTCTGCCGCGTGATCGTACGGCATAACATGCGGCGGCGGAGGTGATGGTGTCGCCGGAGATGTGGAAGCCGGCGCCGTATCGATAGCTGAGAAGGAAGAGGAAGATCGTGTGGCTTGACTGAGAAACAAACGCCTCTGAGATCGGCGTGCTAGGGACAGTAGATTCTTCATCGCCATTGCTGATGATGGCTTCTCTTCGGTCTCTCAATCTCTCTAGGGTTTGATTAAAAAGCCAAAAATGGCAGAGACGACTCGAGATGCGAACTAATAGCCAGTGGTTAAGCAATTATAAAACGTCGACGTGTTATAGGTCTATTGAGACGATGTCGTTTCACGACATAATATTAGTCAACTTATATAATAAGGCCGTAGTAGGCCCATTATCGTATCAAAGAACATTATTCATACTTTGTTAATTGAGATAATAAGGCCTTTATGAAGAATTTAAGGCCCATTAGCGTGGGCTGAGAACGGGTCGGGTTTTGGACCCGGATCTGGGAGGAAACCCTAATCGAAATACCGTGGCCGTATATATAAACTTTGTTAATGGAGAATAAAAAACCCTAGTCTTTGCGGAGAGAGATTCAGCTGCGTTGGGCAAAATCCCAGACGAAGAACAGTGATTAGTCTATTGATATTTTGAGCCATGGCAGGTAAAACTGTGAAAGACGTCTCTCCTCATGACTTCGTCAAGGCTTATGCTTCTCATCTCAAGCGATCTGGCAAGGTTAGTGGATGATTGCTCTTCTTTCTTTTTGTTAAGAGTAGAAATGTTCCAATCTTTATTTGTTGAAGCTTTATATGTACAAATCAAACCTCTTTCTGAAATGAATCAACCCAAGTATCCACTTTCTGTTATCTGGTGTGTTCTGCTAGATTGTTATGTATTGAAATAACTGTAAATTAAGCTCAAATTGCAATGTTTTTTCATAGTTCATAGATGTTGCTGTTGATTTTTTTGCTGGTTAGCATTTCTCTTAGACCATAGTACTTTGAATTGTATAATGTCTGTTAAATGTAGTGAAATTTGTATATGTTGCTAATATTTATTGAAGATTAAGTTTACATGTAAGTAATTGTTAATAGACATTGTTAGTGGCTTCCAATTGTCTTCATTTTTCTTACCATTCAAATGCTTGATGTTCTTAATGTGATTGGCTTTGTTATGTCTGTTGAATCAATTTAGACTAGCAAGTGCAGTGATTGAAGGTTGAGCTCCCACTTTTTACCATTGTTGATAGACAGCTCTAGTTGTTCGGTATTTCTTGTTTGTGGTTTTCACGAGACCATAATGTAATGTCTTTTGTTTGTTTCAGATCGAGCTTCCCACATGGACAGACATTGTGAAGACCGGAAAGTTGAAGGAGCTTGCACCATATGACCCTGATTGGTACTACATCAGAGCTGGTAAGCTCCCTTTCTCTCTAGTTTGTCTCTATTTCTCAAGGCGTATTAAGTTTTTTTTTTTTACTTGACAAAACGTTTTTCTTATGCAGCATCTATGGCTAGGAAGGTTTACCTTAGGGGAGGACTTGGTGTTGGTGCTTTCCGTAGAATCTATGGTGGCAGCAAGAGGAACGGTAGTCGCCCACCTCACTTTTGCAAAAGCAGCGGTGGGATTGCCCGTCATATCCTCCAGCAGTTGGAGACAATGAACATTGTTGAGCTCGACACCAAAGGGTAACATTACTACTGCTACTACTTTAGAGGTGTTTCTCCTTAAAGATGTTTGAGCAATGCTAATAGTATTCACTCTTGTTCTTTTTTCAGAGGAAGAAGAATCACTTCCAGTGGCCAACGGGATTTGGACCAGGTTGCTGGCCGTATTGCAGTTGAACCTTGAAGACCTGAATGTTCTTTTTTTGTTCTTCTACTTTTGAGGCCATTGTGCTTTTAGTGTTTATCTTTACTTTTAAGAAATGTTACCATTTCATGCTCAAGACTTGCACTCATAATGTTCAGAAATTTTTATCTTTTTGGTGATGGCTTTGAACATTTAAACTTATCTGTCTTCTTCCGTATTTTTTGTGTTCCTCCAATTTAAGGATATGGTTTCTTCACCCTAAATTGCTAATTTCATCCTTCTGTATTGCCGATTTCTCTTAATCTGCTTCTTCTCCATAAACTGGATCTGCATTTAGATATACACAATCTCGTATAAGAACAACTTGTCAACCTATGCCAATTTTTCGACTGCACATTTAATCACCAAAACTCATTTCTTCTTTGCTTTTCTTCTCAGGACAATTTGCATTTATTCTACAAACACATGTACTAGATCAGCTCCCGGACAACGGGTCTCCATCACATTATATTCTTTGTTGTATTATCTCCATTCATAGGCAAAGAGATGTCATCTTTCTTCATCATAGCTAGCTTTTGGTTTCCTTAGAGATAGTCTCGACCTTTCTTGTTCCAAACCAGCAATGATGCTCTCTGTTGCTCTAGGCGGAAGATGCAGCCAGTACCAACGTACATTGGACTTTGAAGTACTCTTATGAATCATGATCCTAACATGAAAGAGTTTCAGAGGTTGCAGAGGAGATTTGATTCCATCAACTCCATCTCTGTTTTTTGAGGATCGAATCATCAACCTTATCGACTCAGGCAATGAGTTGATTCTTCACCTTTATTAAACTCAGCAGATTCACTCACATAAACAAAACAAAAATAAGTGATCACTTTGATGAACAGTTTGAAAGAAGGGATCCATGTTCATTTTGATATGAGCGGATATTGGAGCTAGCATTCAACTATGAAGACCATAAGACAAGTCATTGACTTGGGTTCTTGCTCTGTTTTCGTTTTTCATTATGTCATCGATTATTAATTCTAGAGAACAAGATATGAGCATCGATTATTAGGAGGAGAAGGGCTTGCAGAGAGATGGGAAGAATGGCAGAATCTTGAAGTGACGAGAAAAGAAGAGTTTGAGAGGTTGCAGAGGAGATTTGATTCCATTAATAATGAAGATGCCATAGAATTATCTGGTGGGAGATAGAAACAAATACTTGGATTCAAACACACTAGAAAGTAGAAGAAGAAACAACTAGTTTTGGTTTCAAACATGAATCACACGGCGTTATGTTCACTGGTGTATTTATGTTGTAACGTTTTTGATCCAATATGTTTGAAACTTTGTGACATAACATAATAAAATCGTTTCATTGTGCAAGAAGAGAAATTGGTATCAATAAAATTCTCAGAATCTCTGCTGCTTATGCTTTATAAAAAAAACATGGAAAGAAAAAAGAAAAGGAAATAAAGCCCATTGAAAGAAAGAAAAGGAAATTGAGATCGCAATTTCCTTTTTCTCTTTGTATTAAAAAAAGGAAACATAACTTGCCTCCAACGGCTCTATTGTATGTAATCTCTTGTGTATGTATATATAATAACAACATTGACCTAATTAACACTTTGCTTCTTCTATTTCTTCCGTGAGAGACAAAACTCTCTCTATCTTCTTCTTCTTCTTCTTGAAACTCTGAGAATTCCGATGATGATCCATCTAGCAGATATTGAAGAAGTCAAAGCCCGATGATGATCCTTAAGAGTTGTTAGAGTGATCGGCGTGGTAACACAAAAGAGGACCAAAACGCGTCGCCATGAATCGGAAGAGAGGGAAAAGGGCATGGAGATGAATGAATTGACATGGAGAAACCTGAGGTTGTTCAATCGGAGATTCTTCGACCGATCTCCACAGCGGTTAAGAGCTCTCCTTAATCCGATTTCTGTTTTTTGCTTGTTTGGATTCCATCTCCATGAATCATAATCTTACTTTTTAGTTTATGCATGATATATTGGCAGGCTTGGTAAAGGATTGCCCTGGCGTGCATAAGGATAGCGAAGAGAGGTTCGCTGTTGGCAATAGTCGTCGAATTGGTGCTATGCTAAGGATTTCACAACTACGACTCCTGAGGATTTCACAATTACCAGGTAGGATTTCTTTCTTACTTTTTTTTTTTTTTAATCATACATCATAATAATTTAGATATTTTTTTTTAAAAAATGATTTTTCTAAAATTTAAAACAAATTAAACACTTAAACTTTGGAAAAATAATTAATAATTTTTAACTAAAACTATATTAATTTCACTATTACTTTTAAAAATTAGTTTAAAACAAATTAAACACTTAAACTTTAAAAAAATATTACTTTTAAAAATTAGTTTAAAACAATCTAAACACTTAAACTTTAAAATATATATTTAAATTTCTTTAACTAAAACCATGTTAATTTCAATATTACTTTTAAAAATTAGTTTAAAACAAATTAAACACTTAAACTTTTTAACTAAAGTACCATGTTAATTTCACTATTACTTTTAAAGTTAGTTTAAGTGTTCAATTTTAAAAACGTCGAAAACTAACCGCGCCTAGGCATCCTGTCCTTAGTTGGTCCGTAAGCTTTGGTGTTCGAAGTTCGGCAGGTTTTCACGTAATATAGATTTAATACTTAAACTCATTTTTAAAAATTAATAGTGATTTTAACTAAAATTTAAAACAAATATAACACTCAAACTTAAAAAGAATATTTTTTTTAAGATTAAAACCAAGTTAATTTCACTATTACTTTTTAAAAATTAGTTTAAAACAAATTAAACACTTAAACTTTAAACTAAAACCACGTTAATTTAACTATTACTTTTAAAAATTAGTTTAAAACAAATTAAAAAATTAAACTTTAAAAAAATATTTAATTTTTTTTTACTAAAACCATGTTAATTTCACTATTACTTTTTAAAATTAGTTTAAAACAAATTAAACACTTAAACTTTAAAAAAATATTTAAATTTGTTTAACTAAAACCATGTTAATTTCACTATTACATTTTAGTTTAAAACAAATTAAACACTTAAACTTTAAAAAAATATTTAAATTTTTTTAACTAAAACCATGTTAATTTCACTATTACTTTTAAAAATTAATTTAAAACAAATTAAACACTTAAACTTTAAAAATATATTAATTTTTTTTTAACTAAAACCATGTTAATTTCACTATTACTTTTAAAAATTAGTTTAAAACAAATTTAACACATAAACTTTAAAAAAAATTAATAAAACCATGTTAATTTTAGTATTACGTTTAAAAATTAGTTTAAAACAAATTAAACACTTAAACTTTAAAAAAATATTTAAATTTGTTTAACTAAAACCATGTTAATTTCACTATTACATTTTAGTTTAAAACAAATTAAACACTTAAACTTTAAAAAAATATATAAATTTTTTTAACTAAAACCATGTTAATTTCACTATTACTTTGAAAAATTAATTTGAAACAAATTAAACACTTAAACTTTAAAAAAATATTAAATTTTTTTTTAACTAAAACAATGTTAATTTCACTATTACTTTTAAAAATTAGTTTAAAACAAATTAAACACATAAACTTTAAAAAAATATTTAATTTTTTTTAACTAAAACCATGTTAATTTCACTATTACGTTTAAAAATTAGTTTAAAACAAATTAAACACTTAAACTTTAAAAAAATATTTAAATTATTTTAACTAAAACCAGGTTAATTTCACTATTACTTTTAAAAATTAGTTTAAAACTAATTAAACACTTAAACTTTAAAAAAACATTTAAATTTTTTTAACTAAAACCATGTTAATTTCACTATTACCTTAAAAAATTAATTTAAAACAAATTAAACACTTAAACTTTAAAAAAATATTAATTTTTTTTTAACTAAAACCATGTTAATTTCACTATTACTTTTAAAAATTAGTTTAAAACAAATTAAACACTTAACCTTTAAAAAAATATTTAAATTTTTTTTAACTAAAACCATGTTAATTTCACTATTACTTTTAAAAATTAGTTTAAAACAAATTAAACACTTAAACTTTAAAAAAATATTTAATATTTTTTAACTAAAATCATGTTAATTTCACTATTACTTTTAAAAATTAGTTTAAAACAATCTAAACACTTAAACTTTAAAAAACTATTTAAAAAATATTTAAATTTTTTTTAACTAAAATCATGTTAATTTCACTATTACTTTTCAAAATTAGTTTAAAACAATCTAAACACTTACACTTTAAAAAATTATTTAAATTTTTTTAACTAAAACCATGTTAATTTCACTATTACTTTTTAAAAATTAGTTTAAGTGTTCAATTTTAAAAACGTCGAAAACTAACCGCGCCTAGGCATCCTGTCCTTAGTTGGTCCGTAAGCTTTGGTGTTCGAAGTTCGGCAGGTTTTCACGTAATATAGATTTAATACTTAAACTCATTTTTAAAAATTAAAAGTGATTTTAACTAAAATTTAAAACAAATTAACACTCAAACTTAAAAAGAATATTTT